AACACCAGACAGCGCTGTTTCGACCCGCCATAGGTCTCATCAGTGGTGCTAGGCTGAACAACAAATGCAATGCTGGACTCAACTGTCCTCAAAGAACAAGTCTAAGAAAACAAAGGTGATATCTCCCCTGATGAAGACGCAATCAGTAGTATCGACAGAAAACTCAATNTTCAACCCCCTTCGAATGACAGGTAAAACCCCCAATTTTTTAAATAGGAAGTATAAGTTTGTGATATAACGTTAGAAAGGTCTCTTCATTCTCTATTCAGAAATGTTATCGCTTTCAAGTTTATTGCAACAATTAATATAGAATAAATTAAAATCATATGGTTACCGAAATTCGATAAAATACACTCAAAAACTAAAATGTAATGCAAAACGTAATGAAATGTAGAATACGAAAAACGAACTATGGATGTTAACGAAGTATATGTTCAAAATGTTCACCGCGAACGTCTTGGCAACATCCTAATCTCAAATAAAACTGTCTAATCGCAAGTGTTATTCGTTCTATCAGGTCATTCAAATCTGAAGGTTTAGTGTTGTACACATTGCTCTGCACATATCTCCATGAAAAGAAATCTAATGATGAAAGATCAGGTGATCACGCTGGCCATTCAATCGATTCTCGCCTTCTTATCCACCGATTGGGAAATGTTGTATCGAGGTATTGCCGGACATTAACTTGGTAATGTGGTGGTGCTCCACCCTACTGAATCCATATCGTACTCACTGGAACTTGAGGGTTTTCCGGATCATGATATAAATTTGCTAAACTTGGAATGACATCATTTTGGAAGTAGTGCCAAATAATTATCGCCATTCAAGTTGCCCTCAATGAAAAAGGGGCCAATGATTTGGTTTCCTACAATTCCTGCTCAGCAATTCCTGCTGATATTGTTATCCAACATGTCCATCATTTGCTCACAATACTTCTATCAAAATCGTCTTTCATGAGCTCTTGAGAAGGTGTAATTTCATAGGGATGCATTTTATTTTCTTTTAATATGTTTACTATCATACTATCGATGCATGGCTAACATTGAATGTAGTGGATGCCTCGATGTATGTGGGTTTTTCTCATACTCAAGCATCACATCTAATTTGAGTTCATCACTCATTACATTGGAAGCTGTTTTTTCTATCTGCTTCATATGACCAAGCACGCGAAACTGCTTCTCTATTTTGCTTATTGTTCCTTGAGATATGGGCGGTAAATTAGTAAATTTCTCATGAAATAGGCGAGCTACTTCCTGTTGTATTCGAGTTTTATCTCCAAAACCAATCATTTGTAAAACTGTTATTTTATGCATTTCCGTTAATTTAACCATTTGCCAGACTTGAAGTTAACGAACTGACAACTAAAGTTGTAACATACAAAAGTTGACAAGGCGTTTCAAACTAACTTTGCCGCAGAAATTATTTACATTTTTATAAAGGATACCATCTAAAACAGAACATCGCTACGGTTTTTGCTTACTTTTTTATTATCAATACCTCAACATGAAATAAGTTTTGAGTATAATGCAATGAGTTTTGAGAGTATTTTATCGAATTTCGGTAACCACATGATTTTAATTTATTTTCCCTTAATTGTTGCAATAAACTTGAAAGCGATAACATTTTTGGATAGAGAATGAAGAGACCTTTCAAACGATATACCACAAGCCTATACTAAGGGTTACAAATAAGGGAGCAGGCGCGCGTGTAATAAAAACATACTTTTTTCAAATGAAGAAATACATATAAAGTGAGTTTGAATTATATCAAGGAGGTTACATACAGTGCCATCTGCCCACGAATAGATCAAGCAATAATGTCGATATATCAAAAAGTTACGTACAGCGCCATCTGCTCGCGAATAGATCAAGCAATAATGTCGATAATTCTGTCAAATACATATCCCGAGCTTGAGAGTTACAAACATACAGGTGAAGCTAATAAAAGCGTGATACGAAAAAAAACCGTATCGTATGTTTCGGTCGACGGTGCCTATTACATATCGTTATTAACGAATTTTCCACTATTTTCATTCCAAATCGGGGAATTTCATTTTGGTTTATAGTATTTTCTGGATATCGCCGGATTTTCTTCAATAATAGAGGATAAGTCTATGGTATATTAGTATTCAACGTCCCAAGGTTGCGTCGAGTTTTTGCACATGAGGTGAGTTGTCGAAAATTATATTCCGTTTTATACCACGTTTTGTCTCGATCAGACCGTAACACTTTCAATAGAGAAAGCAATTGCTGTGCATGAACAAGCCGAGTATTTTTTATATATTTACTGCTATTAGAGAGACCTATTTATATCATTCACCTATTTTTTAATTTCAAATAACCTATAGTTTCGCAAATAAGCCAATTGGATTTAGTGATTTCAGCTTTAAGAGAGGTGTATGTTTTATTTTGTTGACCCACACCTGACTCCACTGAGATATTAGTCGGTGCATACGCCTAAGCTGTTCTGTCGCTTACTAAGAGAAGCCAAAAATCACGTAACAATTATATAACTTACATCTGGACCTCGCAGCCCAAGCTTCAGCCGCCTTCTGCCAGTCCATCGATTCGGTTCCTCCTGACCCGAATCTTGGGTTATCAGGATAAGGAACTCTATTATTACTGGCAAAACTCCTCGGAGACTCCGGAGGCTGGAACCGCATCCTATCCCCGTAATTTCCTCGATTATGCTGGCTGTGACTGCTGCTGAAAGAGCTTTGCGATGATCCCGGACTAGGCACTGGACTCTGCGAAATCATCGGAGATNGATTCTGAGATTTTCTTTGAAGCTTCAGAAAACCTTAAAACAATCAAACAGTAGATATTTTTTCGAATAAAATATATCGAAAAAGGTCAGAATTATCACAAAATGAGACAACCCTTATTTTTTCTAAATCTAATTTATATTTTATCGAAAATTTTCTGTTATTTTTATACATTTACCCTGTCATCAAAAGAAAAATTGATATTATTAATGTTGAAAAACGACGTAGAGATGAAATTCAAAAAATGTAGATTCAGAAAACACAAATTATTCCAAAAATATGATAGAACTGACAAGGACTTGATGAAAATTCATTATAACGTATACTTATTGAAAAATGAGTTTCCCTGTATGGACGTCACAAATATTTTATGAACCTGTTAAAAGTTCCTGGCGACATCTATGATGCAAAGTCTGTACCGATGCAAAGAAAACTTAGGAATAATTTCTTTACACACCATTTTGACAATTCCATTGCAAAAATGCATCTTCATGCACGATTCCTTCAAACTTGTTTATTAATTAATAGCTTCAGTTGCGAGAACCTTACTAATCAAGGATTGCACTTATAATTGCTGGTCTACCAATTTTAACGATTCGTAAAACTGGAACCTCTGGCATAGGAAAAATCTAAAAAGTATTGTTCCCAAAAACCAGTCTTCAAATTAACTTGGTTTTTGAAACGCATGTTGCGGGAAGTGTAGAAACAGTGCTTTTTTGGATTCCTGATTTTGAATAAGCTTTGGAATTATCAATAACACTAATATTTGGTATTCAAGGATCAAGCACTATCCTAGAAAAATCTTTTCCCATTAAATTTTTAATTTATCGAGCGGACAATCAGTAAACAACAGTAAAGCTGGATTTACGGATTGAATAACACAGCGTAAAACGTATGTTAATGCAAACATTCAAGCAAATGAACAACAGTTTATTTAATAGAACAACACAAGGAAACTTTCAAGATTGTTTCAATTTCTAACATGTTACCAATAAATAAATTTTTAAAATACAGAAAATCGTGATTCAAAAAGCAGCGAGTGATCAAAACTAAGTAAATAATGAACTGTACAATTGACATAGAATTCGTGAACATCATTTTTTGAAAATGGGAACTCTGTGATATGATTGGTTGCCTGTGAGGAAATCCCCCATGTTGAAACAATTATCTATAATTTTACGGATGCATTTTTGCGTTTATGGAGTGGCATAAGGGATTTCAAATCATTTTATATAGTAGACAATGGAAGTCCGAAATAGGCTTTATAAAACATGAGAAATGTTACTGATTTGTTGAAACTAAAAACCAGAAATAATTTTCAATTGAAGTAGATTACTATTAAAATTCGTCATTTAGTAATTCTAACTTTCCATTTCTGTTATTACCTGTGTCAGGACATTAATAATTTCCGATTCTATTATTTTTTAAATTCCTGTATTATTGGTGGA